GAGCATACCCCTACCATACATCTAACAATCAAGCCAAAACACTAGGATGAGAGCTCAGCCATCCGACATCCCAATAGACAAAAGACTCAACCACCTTGACTTATGCATATGCATCTTATCATGTTTTAATCATAGGCGCCTGACTACTCCCATGCTAATTACTCTCCCGGGAATACGGACCAAACATCTCGTGGATGTGGTCATATCGGACCCGCCACTGCCGGTGTAGTTATATCTGACCTGACACCACTCTGGGTGTGGTCATATCGGACTCAACACCACTCTGGGTGTGGTCATATCTCATGATGAATCAATGGTCAACACCACATCAGGGGTGTGACATAACATATCATAACGGAGTAATAGCATGGGGAGCCCTAATTACTATGTAATTGACCATGAGACCAAAGTACTCTTACTTGGTATCCTTATACATGATCCATATCTCATCTTGCTTAATCATAATTCATTACTTGGACATGTTCTTGACCTGGCCACAATTGGCTCAACATAACCAGGAGTCGTATAATTGCACTTCCTCGGGATAAACTCTCGTGCAAGTCATCCTCCTTATACATCATAATATCACCAGGGAATATATATTTTCCCACGTTTGCATCCAAATACAACAATCATGAAAAATCATACCCAATCACCTTCTCGAACCATCATAAAACATATTAACAGTCAAGCCCGCAATGTGCAACATATACACAATCATCAGCATAAACAAGGTCCATATCGATTAGGGCAAGTCAATAATATCATACAACAATCCATGGTTCATCATATAGCAGAAAAGTTCATACACCCCTAATCATGCCATTCTAGTTGACCTAGGTCAATTCTAAGCATCAATATATAACTATCGTGATACGACAAACCCGGTATGCCGTGCTAATCCCTCACCAGTTCTAGTAGTTCAAACACTGGTTCTAGCCTCCCGTACCCCAACTTCACTTTTCTCAAACAAACTCGGAATCCAAATCCGAGATTGTCCTAATATCCTCTGCAGTATCCCCGTCAATTTAGTACTAAGCTCCGGATCAAATTCTCGATAAAAACACATCAAACCCTGGCCGTAGCTAAATTCAGCGATCCCGGCTCCGACCTAAATAATAGCGGAAATTCAAGGATTAGAACCAGAGAATTAATTACCTCGCTGCAGGAAGCTCGTATATGAAATTTGGGCTCAATACGGCTTCCGGATAATCTGAAACCCTAATTTGGCTTATCTGGAATTCAAGAAATTCCTGAACCAAAAACTCCTTTTAAAGCTCTAAATCGATAAATCACGATGTATGGATGGATTAGGCATTACTTACGGGATTTTTGGATCATTAGAGCTCAAGATTTTAGCTTTGGAATTTTCCACAACGCTTCCCTGTGCGTGCTCTGCTTCTCTGTTTTCTCTCGACCCGGAAATGGAAAAAGAGGAAATGGATGGGGAATTAAAGTCGACCGGGTGAATTATATATATGTGACCGCCTGTTATATATATATACATGAAAAAATATATATATATAATACGTATACTTATCCGATCGATTGATATTCCGATTTTCGTCGAAATACTATCAAAAATCTCGATTTTAATCGCGTAATTTTTCTAGCGACAGTAATACGATTTTAGCCGAAACGGGATGTTACACAACACAATAGAGGTGCATCTCCCAAACCAATAACAAAACACACACACCACAACAATGGAATCCAATCCAACCAGACACATCATTACGTGCCACCATAAGCAAAACTCAATACCAATCCAACCAGACACGCATAATACCAATACCGATCCAACCAATACCAATCAGAGACGGAGCCAGGAATTTATATAAGGGGGGCCGATAAAAATTTTGAAGTAAAAGTTTATTATGTTATTTATCGTTTAACACAAATTACCAAAATATTGACATATAGAAGTCTATTTTTAACTAGTAGAATAACTTTGTATAGAAAGGTTGGGGATGAGAAAGTCCGATACAAAGTAAGACAATAGGCAAAAACACTACTAAAATTGAAAACTTAGGTACAAATCATAAGGTATGCTAAATTTGGGAGAAAAGGTGTACTAAAATGAAAACATTTGGTACCAAATCGCACATGCATATAACTTGGGATTAAGAAGCAAAATTTCATGAATTTAAACGATTCATGCATATTTTAGGTACCAAATCGTAAGACAATGAGAAAAAATGTACCAAAATGAAAAATTAGGTACCAAATCGTAAAGCATGCAAAATTTGAGGTTAGGAAGCAAACCTTGTGTTATGTAGTCTTTGTGCAAAGTCAAAGTTTAATATTTTAGGGGGCTATGGCCCCCTTGCTTACAGGCTAGCTGATACCAATCCAACCACTATCAAAATATAACAAAAACACATAACATCGTGAAAGGGTCCATAATATTAATATCAAAATGAAAATACAAGCATATTCATACAACGTTTGGTACAAACCTTCGCCACAATTGTCCTCGGCGTGACGTCGTTCAAGCTTTCTTCGTTCACGATATTGGACTCTTTACATATGACGCTTAGGAGAAAGCATGGAAGCATGTAAATGTTGGAAGGATAATATTGTTACCTTTGTCAATCTGCATGTTCATTTGGTCGTCGGTCGTCCCCTCCTCTAGACTCGTCACTTCCTCTACAATTACTGGCGACGGTGCAATGTCGACGAACGACATGTTTTCCTTTCACCGACGATTCGTCTTCCATATCCCTTATGCTCCCTTCTATCGTGGCCTGACAAAACCTTACGAAAACGTAATGGCACTATAATTAGTTTCTCTAATTATCTGTACCCAATTAATTACGTATTTATTATGCTAGAGTGGTATACTTTTAAATTTAAACTACATCGAAATACCATTTATATTCCTAGTATTCACGGTAACTTTTAGGAGTCAGTAATCACTATTACTAGGGGTGGGCAACGGGTGGATCCGGTGGATTTTGATCATGAAACTAATCCACCACTCTTTAACGGATGGGCAATCTTCCACCCATCACCCACCCACACTCAGTCTCATTATGGATTGGGCGGATGACTGATAATACAGTTGGATGTAGACCCGTCCGTCAACCATCCGCCCCTTGCGGGTTTTCATTTAGCATATTCCTGACCCATCCACCAAAACACCCACACTATAAGGATTGAGTCATTTTAAGGTAGAATCGGGTCATATCCGCAGATCACCAGCCCGGATTCCCTGCCCTAGCCATAGCCCTACGCATGCGAATAGTGATGGCAATGAGGCGGGACGGGGAAGGTACCTCAATACCCACACCCACACCCGCACCAAGCGCGAATCGGGGTAGGTAATACTTGGGCGGGTAAGGGACGGGACTGGTCGACCCACTCTTACATGTTATTTTAAAACGAAGGGTAAACACTTTATGAATGAAAACTAGTGATAAAGTAATGAGTAATTGAGTCTAACTAGAAAAGATCAAGTCTAACTATTTGAAAAAGTCAAAAAGTCAACATATGCATAAATATTGTAAAGAATAGATATAAAATGGACCAAAAAATAAAGCAAGGCATGACGGGTCTAAAGTATATACCTACATCTAAGGCTGCAAATAAGCCGAATCGAGACGAGTTTTACCCAAATTTGAGCTCGGCTCGTTAATAAACAAGTTGAGCTCGAGCTTGGCTCCTTTATTAACGAGCAGAGTTGAGTTCGAGCTAGTTTGGTTACTAAAATCTTGACTCGTATTTGATATAGTTATTTTTTATGTCATGTATGATACATGTGATTAATGTCGAGTTGAAAATAATAATAATAATAATAGTTATGTATTCAATACTAGTTATTATAGTATCGAAGCAATCTATGACACATAATTTCTTTTTAAAATTAAATAAGACATATTTGCTCACATAATCTACGTGTTAAACTTCATATAGGGTGAGATATATAATTCAACAATTCTATGAATTATTAAAATCAACCTCATATGTAACCGAGTTGTCTCTCTAGCCACAATGTTGAGAATTGAGACATCTCATGAGCTCTAAACGAGCCAGCTCACGAGTTGTGCTAAAAAAGTAACGGAGTCGAGCTAGCTCGCGAGTTACAAAAAGCTTAGCTCAAACTCTGCTCGTTAGTAAACAAGTTGAATTTCGACAGAGTTTTTCCCGAGTCGAACCCGAAGCCACTCCCGAGCAGCTCGGCTCATTTACAGCTCTACCTATATCCCACCAACATTATTACGAGTCCGTGATACCCGCCCATCATGGGTATGATCGGGAAATACCCGACTGGGCGGGTTAAATTGCTATCCATACATAGGGGTGTTCAAATGGTTACCATCATCATTCGAGTTAATACATCATTCATGATTATCATTATCATTCGAGTTAATACATCATTCATCATCTCTACACCTAATATAGTTAGCTTACAACAAACCCTTAACATAAATATTAAATACATACCAATATCACTCATCATGAAGTTAAAGCTCTCTTACAAAACACTTAAACTATACATAGTTTGAGGTGGTTGTCATGGTATTGTATGTAATAGCTGTCCAAAATGTTTTGGTTTAGTAAATAGGCAAACCCATTTAATTTTTGACCAATAATGCTTTGATTTTTTGTGCGCATGGAAATAAAATAGGGAATCACCAAAGTTTGGTCTGATTGGTTGCATGGAAGTATAAATAATTTGTATGTTAGGTGTATCATTAATTGGTTAATTGGTTTCATTGGTTAGCAGTGTTTTTTTTTTTGGGGAACATTGGTTAGCAGTGTTGAAACCAAACCACCTAAACCAAATAAGCTAAATTGTTTAACCAAACTAAACCAAACCAAATTAATTAATCAAATTAACCAAACCAAATTCATATAATTGTTTTCCAAACGAGTGATTTTAATAAAATCCCACATTATGTAGGATTGTGCCCAAATCCCACACCCAAAACCTGCATCCAAATGACCCCTCAGTGAATACTAATGGTTAATATGATTACCACGGTGACCAATTTTGTTTGAACACCCCTATCGTACAGGCGAATTGCTATTGACCATCTCGCTGTGTTGTGGAACATTAACAGAGCTTTCTGCTGCTCCTCGACGATTAATTGTATTAGGGTTTTCACTTTTCTCGAGTATCTCTTGTCGCTGTACGTAAACAATATTCCGCTGTCGTTGTTCATCTCTGTCTCGCCGATTCTCGGTTTTCATCGGTTAACTGCATACTGCTAGGGCGCACAGTGAGAAAGCGGCGGAACAAGTGACTGCGACCGGCAAGCAGAGGAAGCTCCAGCAAAAATGTCGTCGCTGAAGAATGTTCTTCCTCAAAGAATTCACAAGGAACGAGCTCAGCCGTGAGTCGTCTCCGTTTTGCTGTTTCTGCTCTTCTTTTCTCATATTTCTGGACTCCATTCCGTTTCCGCACTCTTTCAGTCGCTTATTTGCTTTGAATTTTGGGTTGCTCCGCTGGCAGGGAGTCGAGAAAGAAATTTGGGCTTCTGGAGAAGCACAAAGACTATGTTGTTCGAGCAAAGGCGTTCCAGAAGAAGCAAGAGACTCTACAGGTACAGCCCCGGAAGAGTTCTACATCAATTTCTTGGCGCAGTTGGGTTTTCTCCTTTTGTATGTTTCTGTTGATATGTGAGATTGATTCTGATTCCTGGCTCTCGTTGCTATATCTTCCTGCAGAGGCTCAGAGAGAAAGCAGCTTTCAGAAATCCTGATGAGTTCAACTTTGGCATGATCAAGTCCAGAACGGTAGATGGAATCCATCGTTCAGTGTAATGTCTCCATAGTCCATGTATTATTGCTTATCTTGGTTTTTGAAGCAACTTGAGATGAAATTTCGTATCAGACTTAAGAATAGAAATTTGATGGTGTGGTGAAGCGTAGACGCCACATAAACCACTTTGTGCTTTGAGCTTCTGTTTTTTTTTTATCTGCTTTCTGTTTGGATGAGTGATCTTCCTCCATCGCGGAGTTTTGTCACCGATGAATTCTATTCTGAAATAGCTAGAATGTCACATGGTGTTTCAAAGTATGCTTATGACACTGAGTAGCTTCGAATTGTAGCTAAGGTCAAGTACTTGAATGTGCTAATGAGATAACCTGAAGCTTTGGTTTGACATAGCAGACTTAGACTTTTAGGTTCACCATGACTAGTTGTTCATCTAGTTTGGCTCTGTTTCTAGGGGCGAGGCAAATAAATACACACAAGAAGAACTAATGCTGATGAAAACGCAAGACATAGGATATGTGCTTCAGAAACTTCAGAGCGAGAAAAAGGTGACGGAGGCTTCTGTTTCCCTTATTTACTGATGAGCTGAAGGTTTTCAACCCAAATATATGCTCATTGATGGCACTGAAATCTTGTCTCGTGCAGAAAGTTGAAAAGCTTTCGTCTGTCTTGCACGTCGGAAACCAGGCATCAAACAGACACGTCTATTTTGCGGAAGACAGGTTTGTACATTATGACAATTTTACTCGGTTGACATTGATTGTGCCAAGAACTATAAAGGATAGCTGGCTGTTTTAGAATACATACTGGAACCTTGTGCTTGCTGATGCCAGACTGTGTTATGTAGTGGATGTTAGTTCTCTAATGATGGACTACTAACTGACATGCTGGTTGACTTGAGGTCTGGCGATGGGCCTGTTTTGGACTCCTCATTGCTTTGGAGGCTTAAATATACAGTTTATGTAATGATGTACAAGTTGTTGCTATCGTTTTCACTGATGAAAGGGACCTAGTAAGTTGAAAACATGTGTGGTTAACTGGTTATTGAACTTTGGTTTATCGTCTTGCAGAGCGGATGCTGAAGAGATAAGGTCACGCTGTGCCAAAAACAACGAGGGTACTTCCAATGCGGAAAAGCCTTTGCCTGATTATATTAAGAGGTACACTTGTAGTTTACTTAGTGTAGATCCTACACTACTGTAGATGAATGCTCCTCTTCTGTTAAATCTTTGGCTGTCTTCTGGAGTGTGTATATATTTCACAAATGTGGGAAGTCTTTCTGACTTTCTTTGTTCCAAAGCCTAGGGTAGTAACTAGATCATCACTTTATTTATTCATTTATTTATTTAGAGGATGCTTTTCTAATTGTGTCTGGAGTTTCGTCGAAACAATAAAGAGTTCATCTGGTTACTACACTAACGTTTGATACATTTTGAAGTCAGGAAATTTACCATGGTTTAATAGTTAGTTGATTACAGTGGGCATGTCAATGTGCAGGCCTTTATGTCAGTCTCTATTTCTGGAATTTAGTATTAAGGTCCAGTTTTCTTGTGCAGGAGATTAGCCGGCTCTTACAGAGAGCTAGAAGCCCGGAAGAACCGGGCGACTCAGTTAGAGAAGCTGTACATGGAGATGACATTGCAGAAAGAACTGCAGGTATGGCAATGTGTAAATGTTTGCCCTGATTTATGCTTTCTGCCTGATTCTTGGAGTATGGCATGATAACGATTGGGCCTTTTCTGTCATCAGAAAAAGGGACGAAAGCGCAAGCTGCGTGAAGATGAGACCGTGGCGCCAACATCAGGGCCAGTATACAAGTGGAGAAGAGAACGGAAGAGGTGAAAAATCAGCGATTATTTAAGTGCTGTCTGTTTGTAGGTCTATCAAATTCATTTAGCCCCGCCTGGAGAGGGCTGAAAGTTCATTTTCACAGCTAAAGTGACTCTGATGCCGAATTTGGATCAGGTGGTAGAGAAAGAGGTGCGTGGTAGTTAGTTATGTTCTCATCTATTATCCCGACAACACAACGAAAATTAGCAGAAACTAGTGAAATTAGTAGCTTTCTTGTTGTTTTTCAAAATTTGTTTCTTGTGGAATAATATAAGTATTTTTTTTTCCGTTGAATCAATTCCCCTCTTTATTAATATGAAAAGAAAAACCAATACAACGAGGCAAAGCAGTAACGCTTTGAGTAATGTCAAAAACCCTGCTTACTCCTACTCAACTTGTAACTGCTCACTCAGCTACTCAAAAAACAAGCAACAAGCAAAGAAAAATCAAATATATCCCAAACTCACAAGATCCCCCTGCAGCATGGCATTCCCAGCCACCAGGTATCGCAGATCCGCTTGCAGCTGCGCAGCAACCTTTTCTGGATCTGGCAGTGCACCACCATGTACAACTCTGCACCGCTCACGCCAAATGTATGTCAGCACCATACACCACACAACCCCATGCCATCGTATTTTCCTCGAGGGCTGAACTAAAGAGCAGACTGCAGCCATCATTGCGTCCCATCCTCCTGCTTCAAACAATCGACAATGCAAATTCAAGACAAGAAGACGAGCAAAAGAGCAATGCATGAACAGGTGTTCTCTCGTTTCCATCGGGTAAGTGCACAATGGGCAAGAGGCAATAGTTATCTTCCTCCAGCTCAGAAGTTTGTCCCTCGTCACTATTGCATTTCTTATAATAAGCCAAGCAATAAAGCTATAGCGAGGAGGACAGAACCTATTCCAGACGAGCTTAAACCATGGTACCTCTGGCTGCTTGGCACGCAAGGAATCCCAGACTAATCGAACAGAGTACACCTTCATTAGTTTCATTCCCCAGTAAACCTCACCATTTCTCTGCTGTATCCATGGCCTGATCTGATCCCTGATTTTGAGCAGCCTCCTCCATGTCCAGGAGCTGCTGTACTGTGGCTTCATCGACCATAAATCTAACTGCTTGCATTTATACTCGTACATCCATGCAACCCAAAGAGTCCCTGACTTTATGAGGAACAGTCACAACATCCTAGCAGAGCTAGCTAAGTTCCAGGCCTGGAGATCCTTAATCCCCAATCCCCCTTCTTTCTGTGGATAGGCTAGTTTTTCCCAGGATACTTTGGCTCGACCCTCTTCACTACCATGCCATAAGAACTGAGAACAGACTTTCTGTACTTGTTTCAAAACTTTTTTAGGAAGAACAAATAACTGCATCCAAAACTGTACTATCCCCATCAGAACAGAATTCAATAGCTGCAATCTCCCTGCAAAAGAGAGATTTTTAACACACCAGGATTTAATCCTTTTTGTAATTTTGTCAACCAACATGGCCACTTCAGTTGAGGATAGCTTCCCAGTGATCAAAGGCAGCCCGTGGTACCTAACAGGAAGCTTACCCTCTTGGAAGCCTGAAAGCTGCAGAGCAACAGACTTATACTTAACAGAGTCACCTCCAAAATAAACCTCGCACTTGGAAGGATTACATTGGAGCCCAGAGATCTCATAAAATTGCTGGAGCACATGCTTAACTTGAAGAATGGCCTGAGCTGAACCCTCTGTAAATACAATAATGTCATCTGCAAAGCACATATGGTTCAACTGCACTCTCTTACACTGTGGATGGTAGGGAACTCTATTCTCTTGACTTGCTTTCATCAACATGGTAGAGAGCCCCTCCATAGCTATTGTAAATAGATATGGCGATAAGGGGTCTCCCTGCCTAACCCCCTTCCTAGCTCGAAAATAGCCACACAACCCCCATTTATGTTAATACTATAGTGTGCAGTTTGAATGGAACACTTAATCCACTTCAAGAACTGCTCAGGAAACCCCATAACACTCATCATAAGGAAAAGATAGTTCCAATTTACAGAATCGAATGCTTTCATTATATCAATTTTGATAGCACATCTAGAGGAAAGCCCCTGTCTATGATATCCACTGACAAGCTCCTGTGCTAGCAAGATATTGTCCATTATACTTCTATCTTTAATGAAAGCTGACTGAGAGGGACTGATAATAGTTGGTAAAACTTCCTTGAGTCTATTGGATAGAATTTTAGCCACAATTTTGTATAAAAGATTCACACAAGATATAGGTCTAAAATTCTTAAGGGTATCAGTAGTTGGAATCTTAGGAATGAGAGAAACAGCTGTGGAATTCACTCCACTTGGAAGCTTACCTTGATGGAAGAAGTCAAGAATCCCCCTTGTGACATCTCTCCAATAATGTGCCATGTTCTCTTATAAAATCCAGCAGAAAATCCATCAGGCCCGGGGGCCTTCTGAGGATTAATACCAAAAACAACTCGCCTGATTTCATCAGCAGTGACAGGTTGCACAAGAAGATCCCTCCCCTCAGTGGAGATAGTGTGTCTTACCATACCTTCAATATCCTCTCTGCTAGGATTGATATCAGGATTAGCCTCACCCAAAAGTTTCTTATAATAACCTATAGCCTCCTCCACTATCTGATCAGACTGAACCAACTCTTCTCCTGTTGCAGAAATTAGCTTTCAAATTGCTCTTTTTGAGGTTCTGATTTTTACTGCCTAGTGAAAGAAACCAGAGCTTTTATCACCAAGCTGCATCTAAGAGACCCTCGACTTCTGCCAACAGAAGCTCTCATAAGCCACCTGAAGCTTTGTACAATCAGCTTGCACCTTATTGACTTCTGCAAAATGAACCGAGGTAGGATCTGAAAATGCTAACAGTTGTGCCTGCCTTAGCAAATCTTCTGATGCTTTTACCTGACCTTGCAAATCACCATAGACCTCTTTATTGAACTGCTTCAGAACCTTCTTTACTTCTTGTAACTTCTTTTGAACAACCTGCAGTGGGGACCCTGTAAACTCTTTCCTCCAAGCTTTCTCTAAGTTTCCAGGAAAAGAGGGTGCTCAGCCCAGAATTCAAAATATTTGAATGGTTTGGGAAGAGTTTTTATTGGCACAGCTGTGCAAGCTTGAATACCACAGTGATCAGAGAAGCCTGAAGGGAAGGCCTCCATGGCACAATCAGGAAATTGTTCTATCCACTCTAAATTCACCAAAGCTTGATCTAACCTACGGGAAATAGGGTTATTTTGTTGCCTGTTTGTCCATGTGAACTGGGGGCCCGTTGTTCTGTAATCCAAGAGCTCCATATCTCCAATCCAATCATTAAAAGCTGTCATACTAGAGGTGACAGACAGTTGATTGCTAGTCTCACTTGGTATCCTGACTGTGTTGAAATCCCCTCGCACTATCCAGGGATAACCTGCTACCCGTAGTTGCCTGAATTCATCATAGGTTCTGATCCTGTCCTCCTCGGCATTAGCTGCATACACAGCTGTAAAAAAGAAAGATTCATTGCTAATTCCTTTCACTATAGCATGCACAAAGTTCTTCCTTGGTTTTAATATCCTAACTTCCACTAGCGGATCCCAGAAGAGCCAGACCCTGCCCAATGGAGAATCTACACAATTCAAACACTTCTTCCACCCTGCAAACACTTCAGCCACTGCCTCCTCTGCTTTATTTGCTTTTATTCTAGTTTCTAGCACTGCAACTACATCTACTTTATTACGTTGCAAGACTCTTAACAAGTCCCGCTGTTTAGAGGGTTTATTAAACCCTCTAACATTCCAAAAGAGAACAATCATTTAGAAGACGAGGGTTTTACCCCTCCTCCTCCCTTCTTACCCTCCTTCTTACCTTCCTTCCTCTTTGGCACTGCTTGTAGCTTAACTGGCTCTCTATCTTCCAACTTACTAAGGACACTAAATGATGAAGCGGAGACCTGAAACTTTTTATGAGGGCTTGTTTTTGGTGACCAAACACGAGGCTTGGCACCATGGATCACCTGCTGGAATTCAGCCTCAGAGGGCAGCTTTGGGGAAGCCATCTGCTGAAACTCAGAATCAGAAGGCAGCGTTGGAGATGCTACCTCTTGAAACGAGCTGTCCAGGTTTGCTGGGATGATTCTGTCCACTGATGCCCCCACCATAGCAGTCAACTGAGGATCATCATCAAATATCACAATCTCCTTGCCCTTAATAGAGCTCTTAGTGCTGGACTCCACCTGAGGAAGACTGGTGTTCAAAGTATTCTGCACTGGATCTTCAGAAACAACCACCCTCTCAGTCTGATGCTTTGCACAGTCTCCAGTAATGCCAAATAGATGACAAACAGGACACACTGGCGGTAGATTACAGTAGGTGACCCCAATTTTTAGAGATTGATCCTCATCAGGCCACAACATCACATGATCCGGACATTCACTATCCACGGTAAGCTCAACCAACACCTTAGCATAACCATGCCGATCCCCCATCCTTGTGGTATGATCGATCCCCAACGGAATCCCTAACCAGCTTGCAATTCTACTAAGCCCCTGAAAATCATATTACTCCAGTGTCACATTCACAAGATTAACCCAAATTGGAAGCGCTTTCCGCCCTACATCCTCAGCACTAATACCCGGTACCCAAGGCCTAAGATAAAGCAAGTTGTTAAGGTAAAACCATGGCCCATTCTCGAGAATCCATTCGCAGACCTTCGGGTTTGGCAGCTGGATGAGAAGCATTCGATCATAGAGGAGAGAGACACGAACTACACCATCCCGACCCCAGAGCTTATTTGCCCAGCGACGAAGGACGTACAACGAGGGTGGGTCTTGCAAGAACTGGCCTACTAGACAATTCTTCCATCTAGCCGCTCCAGCATCACGCACCGCCTTAGGCATACGAAGCCCGCCATTGATAACTTCAGGCTTGATGTAGGTAAGATGATTGGCCTCCGGGATGCCAAACAGCGCCGCCCAAGGTTTCCTGGGAACACCTTGGGCTTCGCCGATTGACGTCGTCGAATTCGCGGCCTCAGTCGCACTCACACCACTCATGAGAACAGAGAAGAGAGGGGGAAAAGGCTGCTCCGGCGCAGGTGCCGGAGCCGGCAGCAAACTCACGAGATCGAAAACCCTTACCACCGGAATCGCTCAGAGCACTTCCTCACGCAGAGCACTTAATTTTCTAATAATATTATTTATTATTTATTTATTATTATTATTCTGAATAATATAAGTATTGAAATAATTTCATATGAGCTTATTATCAAATCTTACTAGAACCACTTTATTACCTATTTTTCCACTCAATTTTCACAACTCATTACTGAAAACTTATTATCAATATTATTATAAATTTTTTCTCCCTCAATTCTCGTAACTTGTTATGCCATACTATTTTTCTCATTGTTTTCCTACTTTGTCATAGTCTCAACATTTGATAGAATCAAAACATTGTATTCTTGAGATTTTCTATTAGCTGCATTAGAAAATTGTTAATGAAAAAAAGAGATTAATTAATGCTAAAATTGGTGCTCAGCTACTAAAATAACTAAATGACTTCATTTTATTCCTTTTCAATTTTTCAAAATTACCTATTATGAACTAAATATGTTTCTGTTCAATTTGTCATAACTCCAATAAAAACATAATAGCATGATAACAATACTAAACGAGGTAGTAGAATACAAGGTTCAAGAAGGCGTTGCGTTGTGCTGCTAACTAGCGCCTAGCGCCTATCATGTCTATGCCTAGTTGTTTTAACAAGTAATTGTTTTTAATAGAAATAACAATTTTATGGCGCGTTCTTACTTTACTTCAATTTCAAATGTTAATAATTTAGCCAACTCTCAACAATAATCAAAATAAGTCATGATCTAGAATTGCAACTGCAAATGGAGGAATGAGTGAAGGATGCGTCGCATATAGGGCATCTAGAGATGACGTCGTTTCGGGAAGATTGGCTACATTTCTTTTTTATCATTTATCTACTAGTGCAATTAATCATGCCTCACACTGATTAATCATGACTATTTTTGCCTCAGCATCACTTAGGCGTTATGAACGCCTAATTGTATTCCTAGGACCTAGATGAGGTGTTTTCTAGTACCTAGACGCGCTTACGCATATGCGAAATTACTCCTTCTTGAACCCTTGTAGGGTATACAAACATTACAAAATTTATGTGCCTCGATTTTAATGGGTATTATATTGGTATGATGTTGGTTAATTATTTTTCTTACTGCAATTTTATTATAAATGGTAATATTACTCAGTATGCTGTCAACTGAACCACAATTTTAACACTCAATATCTCATTGTAGATTTCTAGTTAAACCATGATGCTACTTGTTATATGGGCTAGAATCACCACCTACGGCTACGTTGCACGGAGTATCCAATAAATGGTCAGCAATTTTTAATATTTTTAGAAGCAATGTAGCAAGAAAATAAAATGTGGAAATTATATACAAAAGAATACCAAATTATATAGATAAGAAGTGAAAGAGGCATACTCAATTTCAAAGTAGACTATTAATCAATAGAAGGCTACTACTATGGTCATCCGAGCGGGCGTACTTCTCATCCTTGAGTGCCTTGCAGATGGAAAAATTCAACCCGTGCATTTTCAGAGATCATGATGCACTTCCCTTATTAAAAAGGAAATACTTTGCCGTAAGACCACACAGTTTAAGCATTGAAGGAAAGGTTGAATAATTCCCGTATTGTAGAATCTTCAAAAACAAACACTATGTTATGGTTCTATAAGAATCAAGCAAGGAAAGAGCCACAAATCCCATTCAACTTCCTTCCCAAACGTCCCTAATGCAATACCGAAACATGTGGGATTTTTCCAATAGTAGCACCTTTTAAAAAGAATTACAAAAATAGCACTCAGCCCATAAAAATTACAAAAACAGCACCATTTTAAAGAAACCGCATCTCCAGGTGCGTTTTATTTATAAACCGCACCTTGGAGGTGCGGTCCGTGCCACATCAGCCAGGGAACCGCACTAGGAAGCAGCGGTTTGTGTTTCCTCCGGAGCGGCCTTCAAGACCGTTGGATAAGGCGGCGATCCAACGGCGGACCGCATGCCAACTCAGTGACGAAGTATTTGAGGGATCTTCATGATCCTGCCAAAGATCGGGTGCCCCTAACCGAGGAAAGTCCGGAGCTAGAGAAGGAAAGATATGCTCGTGTCTATCTCATAGGCATGATAGGAGGAGTGTTCTTCTCCAAAAAAATTGAGCAATTTAATTAGCTGTGGATGGCTTAGGATCCTCCTTGGTACTTGGGATGAGATGGGGGAGTTGAGCTGGGCATCCGCTTGCCTAACTAATATCTACCACCATTTGTGCAATGCATCTCTCAAAGCTGTGAGGGAGGTCGGCGGCGCAATGTTCATCGTCCAATTTTGGGCTTGGGAGCATCTGCCATGGATTGCACCGCTCAAATGTCCCGACAGGAATTGGGGTCCCGATCATCCCCTAAGAAACGAAGCTTATGGTTGTAGGTAAACTTCTCATACCCCATCATGATTTTAATAACACAAATTTCCTTATGTTTTAGCTTATTGTAGTTTTATTATTGTCTTATTTATAAGGTGGGTTGGAGCCTCAACATGCGACAACCTTGCCCAACACAAGTTGGTAGAGTATATGAGGAGGCTAGAGCGACTTTGGGAAGGAGAGGTAACTAGAATACTTCGATGTGCTATAACTTTTTTTCATGGAGTACATGTATTTTTCCAATTTTGTTTAACTTAAGTTACTCATTTCTTTTTGTAGATCAAATTCGATCCATACCCGGGAAACATCGTTCATTGGCATTTACAGCAATTACCCGGTCATATCGGGCAATGGTGCACGAGGGTCCCTCTCGTTTGTTTAGGGACCGTGGAGTGGCACCTGCCGGATCGATGCCTCCGTCAGTTTGGTCGGGAGCAGTGCATTCCTTTGGAGGTCCCCGAGAGTCGAAGGGCGTTTCACCACAGAAATGGTCGGCAAGGTACTCACGATTGGCCCACGAAGTTGGCGACAATGATCACGATATGGGAGAACCGACAATTTCAGGAGATTGTCACTCCAACAAATGTGGGTCGAATGGGGTATCATGACCCATACATGGATAGATATCGGCAAACATCGGTTCGGTACGTGACTCCGGAGGGTGCTGCCGATGGTGCATTGGTAAGTATATTTCGTCTGAACAATTAAATTTATTGCTTGTTTCATGGAGACACATCATTAGTCTTATCTTGCTAACCTTTTTTATGTGATTTAGGCTGATGGGATCGAGCGGATCAAAGATTTGACCCATGGGAAAAATGAAATGGGCAGTGAAGATGTGAGCTTCATCAAGAGGATGATAAATAGTCGGGTTCGTCCTCCTAGTGACGTGGAGATGAATTTGCCGGAAAAACCATTCATAGCTATCAGCATTCTCTCCCTCAACAATGACGAAGGCTAAAGGAAAGTCTTGCCTATTTGTATCCGGCCCACTGGCAATAAGGGGAGTGCCCTTGTACTTGCCGGTAAGGAATGTACCATCCACTTGAATCACAGGGGACACATAAGCCAAAACCATCAATAGATGGCTTGAATGCCCCAAAAAGTCGTCTGAAATGGCGTTTGTTACCTGGCTCTGGCGGTTGTATCTCTTCATCTTGGTATCGAGGGGAGAAAACAGTGTCAGGGTTAGACACCTCCAATGCCAAAATCAACCTGGGAAGGAATGTATATGATTCCTCCCAATCACCAAATACGGTGGCCAGAGCTTTCTGCTTTCCATGCCACGCCTTCTTATAGTTAATCATATAACCATAACGACTTGCAATGTCGGCGATTATGACTTTCACCTTCAGGTCAGGATCTTGCTCAATTAGATGCTTGATAGCCGCAACAACCACCCTAGATTTCAACTATCGATGGCATTGGGATGTTATGGATGACACACATGTGCGTGTGTGTTTTCACCGCACGGGATATGACCCAATGGCCGTGTCTCTTGCTGTTAATGGCCCGAATCCTAACATTGCATCCCTCGTTATGATTACGGCATTTGACTATGAGTCTTTTCGTGTTGGAATGAGTTGTGTGCCATTCAAAATGCCGAGTCATTGCTTCAGTTTCAATGGCGTGCTGCACCTCCTTCTTCAAGCCAAATTGTTGGCCCTTCATAAACCCAGTGAGTGGACCCCATACTAGAACCTCTGGGGGTTCCATGTCGCTGTCGACCATTCAATTGTCGTCTGAAATGTGATTGTAGTAGGGGACTGGTACACGGTCATGAGCCACCTCATCATCATTATCGGAGTCTGACTCTGGTCTTGAATCATCAGCACCTTCAAGAGGGTTGGAGCTGTCTCCACTGACGTTGTTCTCTCCTTCTTCATCGGAGGGGTCACTAACTGGTGCTGGCAGGGCATCTTCCATCTGATCCAGCTCATGAAAGGCACCTTCATCAGCTCCATAATGGTAGTTGTGAAAACTTCGGCTGTCTGATTGGAAGTTGTACCGGGGTTGGTTGGCATGGTCCGGATGCACTTCTTCTTCATATGACGGGAAAGATTGATGATGACCTTCACCTTGCTCTTGGTACTGAAAATAGGAATGAGGATCATGGTAACTTTGGTAGGGATGATCTCCATATAATTCACCTCCACCATGGATACCAGATGTTTGACCGTCTCCAGAATACCTCCAACGCCTACGAATGCCTCGGTGTAAGCGAACATCTCGGCTTTGGAAAGATTGTTGGACCTCAAGAATTCGAGCATGGCATCTACTTCATCCTGAGTGGTTATAAGATATTTCTCATGCCACAACGACCCGCCTTCTCTGTTTGGATATCGGTACACCATACGATCAACTCTTCTCGTGCCATCCATACAAGTAACGTTAGTACACATTTGATAGAGGTCTTCAAGCATCGGTCTGGAAGCGACCTTTATTTTCTGAAAATTGCCACCGACGTAGGTGACCCCCTTTCCGGTCTCTTCCGTGTAACCATTCCACCGTAACCCAAGCGTGAACTTTTGGAATGCCATATGCAAAAAATCGTAGTTCAGTTAATATCATAAAAATCACAAATCACAATAAAAAGTAATACAAAATAAACTTACGAGTTAACGTTAACCGCAAAAACACTAAAGAAGTAGGGAGCTACAACAGAAAATTTAAAAGGGAGAAGGAGAGGTGTGAAGAGAAGAGGTTGTTTCCCGGGCTGTTTTTTATAGGCAAAATCATCAGTGAAAACCGCATGGGGAGGGTGCGATTTTCATCTGCCATGCAGCCCCACGTCTGTCAACCTGCATGGCAACATGTTTGATGTCAAAAAATAATTACGACACACAAACCGCATGGGGGGTGCGGTTTGTTTTGGAAAACCAAAACTGCATCCCCAAAGTGCGGTTTTGCTAGGTCAGCCCAAGAACCGCACCTTGGCCATGCGGTTCTGTTAGGTCAAGCCCAGAACCGCATGGACAAGATGCGGTTTTGGCCCAGAATCTTAAACCACACATTGGGCGTGCGGATTACATATAAACCGCACCAGTGGCGTGCGTTTCACAATCAAACCGCACCTTAGAGGTGCGATTTTTAAAAATGGGTGCTAGTTTTGTAATTTCTTTGGACTGAGTGCTATTTTTGTAATTTTTTTTAAAAGGTTCTATTTCGGGAAAAATCCCAAAACATGTTAATATTCCAATATGAAATGAAATGCCTTAAAGAATTTCGGATTTTGAAACCACCTCAATTAAAATCTCATATAAATCCTCTAATTCCATGTATAAGCACCGAACAAACCCGCAACAACTACCATTGAGAACTCTACCAATAGAAACCTTAATAGCAAACCAAAGTACTATAGTCTATCATAACCATAACGTGTCACAAACTTTAATATCAGCCTTGCACCCGATAGTAATGACATTGTCAATGTTTTTCAAAAGGAGGTAAGATTACAACAACAGCGAAATTCAGTGTGCATTGTCTAAGATATCCAGATCTAGATGTCTTTCATCTAGGGTTCTCAGATTTGGACCAATAGAGAATTGAGAATTGAGGGAGAATTATTGATTGAGATTAGAGGAAAGTAGAAGGAAATTGGAAAGTAAGAAGGAAGAAACAGAACTCGGTCTCTTACAGGTTGAACGACTACGAAAACCCTAATATATTCTAATGAAAACTTAAAAAAAAATCATTATGTTGTGGATACAGTTGATACATTATGAGTTATTGACAAATAAAACAACAAACGAGTCCAAACTACAAAATCCTTCAAAAAGTGAGTTTCTAACAATTCTTGCCTTTTGAAACTAACATTGCCCTCAAGGTTCGCCAGCTACGTCCTGATTTTCTTTTCCTTCCTCCGCACCGAGCTCATCAGCCTCATCCTCCATGTTGCTCTAGCAATATCATATGACATTAGACACATTAGTGACCAATCGTGTACCTCTTGTTGCAATTGAAGCAGTGTCGGACCCCTACTGATCTCTTGTTCCCTTCCCTAACGTGTTTATCAGCTCTCGGCATCACCAATGGAGGGTACACCGATTCAGAAGCGCCTCCCATGCCTTTCCACTATTGCAAACAAGCCTAGTCTTCTCCGCTACTGGTTAATTCAGGTTCGTCTAGTTCAACTCCGAACTGAACTAGTCTATCTTGGTTTGATCCGATTTAGGTCAACCCAACCTGGTTCAACGAACCCCGTTCGCTCGCCTTGGTAGATTCCACATTCGCCCAAACTCAACTAATTTGGGTGGTAATCTTGGTCCAACGGCCCACCCCCCTTGAGTCCATGTCTGCTCACTCCTTTGTCTGATCACCTGTCTCAATTCCTCCAAATCCTGGGCCCAGCCAATCCGCATGTAGCTCGGCCCATGTAAGTAACGTTAGTACACATTTGATAGAGGTCTTCAAGCATCGGTCTGGTAGCGACCTTTATTTTCTGAAAATTGCCACCGACGTAGGTGACCTCCTTTCCGGTCTCTTCCGTGTAACCATTCCACCGTAACCCAAGCGTGAACTTTTGGAATGCCATCTGCAAAAAACCGTAGTTCAGTTAATATCATAAAAATCACAAATCACAATAAAAAGTAATACAAAATAAACCTACGAGTTAACTTTAACCGCAAAAACACTAAAGAAGTAGGGAGCTACAACAGAAAATTTAAAAGGGAGAAGGAGAGGTGTGAAGAGAAGAGGTTGTTTCCCGAGCTATTTTTTATAGGCAAAATCATCAATGAAAACCGCATGGGGAGGGTGCGGTTTTCATCTGCCATGAAGCCCCACATCTGTCAACCTGCATGGCAACATGTTTGATGTCGGAAAATAATTACGACACACAAACCGCATGGGGGGTGCGGTTTTGCTAGGTCAGCCCAAGAACCGCACCTAGGCCATGCGATTCTGTTAGGTCAGGCCCAGAACCACATGGCCAAGATGCGGATGCGGGTTTGGCCCAGAATCTTAAACCGCACCTTGAGCGTGCGGTTTACATATAAACCGCACGAGTGGCGTGCGTTTCACAATCAAACCGCACCTTAGAGGTGCGGTTTTTAAAAATGGGTACTATTTTTGTAATTTTTTTGGACTGGGTGCTATTTTTGTATTTTTTTTCTAAAAGGTGCTTTTTCTAGAAAAATTCCGAAACATGTTAATATTCCAATATGAAATGAAATGCCTTGAAGAATTTCGGATTTTGAAACCACCTCAATTAAAATCTCATATAAACCATCGAGAACTCTACCAACAGAAACCTTAATAGCAAACCAAAGTACTATAGCCTATCATAACCATAACGTGTCACAAACTTTAATATTAGCCTTGCACCCGATAGTAATGACATTATCTATGTTTTTTAAAAGGAGGTAAGATGACAACAACAGCGAAATTCAGTGTGCATTGTCTAAGATATCCAGATCTAGATGTCTTTCATCTAGGGTTCTCAGATTTGGACCAATAGAGAATTGAGAATTGAGGGAGAATTTTTGATTGAGATTAGAAGAAAGTAGAAGGAAATTGGGAAGTAAGAAGGAAGAAACAGAACTCGGTCTCTTAGAGGTTGAATATCACGACTAAGAAAACCCTCATATGTTCTAATGAAAACTTTTAAAAAATCATTATGTTGTGGATACATTTGATACATTGTGAGTTCTTGACAAATAAAACAACAAACGAGTCCAAACAACAAAATCCTTCAAAAAGTGAGTTTCTAACAATTCTTGCCTTTTGAAACTAACATTGCCCTCAAGGTTCGCCAGCTGCGTCCTGATTTTCCTTCCTCCGCACTGAGCTCGTCAGCCTCATCCTCCATGTTGCTCCAGCAATATCATATGACCTTGGGCACATTAGTGACCGATCGTGTACCTCTTGTCGCAATTGAAGCAGTGTTGGGCCCCTACTGATCTCTCGTTCCCTTCCCTAACGTGTTTATCAGCTCTCGGCATCACCAATGGAGGGTACACCGATTCAGAAGCGCCTCCCATGCCTTTCCACTATTGCAAACGACCCTAGTCTTCTCCGCTACTGGTTAATTCAGGTTCGTCTAGTTCAACTCCGAACTAAACTAGTCTATCTTGGTTTGATCCGATTTAGGTCAACCCAACCTGGTTCAATGGACCCCGTTCGCTCGCCTTGGTAGATTCCACATTCGCCCAAACTCAACTAATTTGGGTGGTAATCTTGGTCCAACGGCCCACCCCCCTTGAGTCCAGGTCTGCTCACTCCTTGCTCTGATCTACCTGGCTCAATTCCTCTACATCCTGGCCCAGCCAATCCGCATGTAGCTCGGCCCATGTTTGCCCACAGTCTAATCTCCTTTCATGGCTTCCGGGACTAGTGGCTGAAAGCCCATCTCCAAGCCTACCGAGTCGTAGCTCAACATCTTAGCCTTTCCACGCAACATCACGATCTCGTGGGTCGTAGGTGTGGGTAACATGCACGGAGTAGAGTCGGGCCCGACCAAACCCTATCCCTCATTCATCATCACTCCCATAGGGTGGTTCCTGCCGCCGCCGCTGTCGTGTTCGTCGCTCGCCACCGCCACGGTCGTCACGACCATAGCTTCGGCCGTCGCTTACCGCACCTGCCTTCTTTTTCTCATCGCTAGCTCGGTCACCTTAACTGTTGCACTATAGGTAGGGCACGAAAGTAACTTGTCAAGAAAAGAAATTATTTCTCATATGCTAAGTACATTGTAAACTTGTGGTGGATATTGCATTCGCCATCTTGGTTTTGTGAATGAACTTTTGGAAAGATCTTGTACTTCTCATCTTGATGTATTACTTCAGTTCTATTCCATGAATCCACCATAAGGATTATACATTCATCCTGAACTTGTGCTGCTTTCATGTATGAGATTAATGCTTTATCAATCTGGCCAATAAGAGTTAATGAACCAAATTGAATGAGCCATCTTTGTGAGAAACATTCCACCTTGTGTTCAGACTTGACAAAAATTTCTTCTCCATTGAATCTTCCTAGAAAAGCAAAAACTCCTTATTTCCATGCCAAATTCGTTGTCCCCCCTTTTCATAATAAAAAGGATTGACCTTGGGACTTTGAGTTCAACCAAATTGTTTACTTTTTGGTTCATCGAATTCTGCCCATGTGTCCCTTATGATGATGGATGGATTTCAATTTTGTATGCAAAGAATGCAAAATCATACTAGATGATATACTGAAAAAGTCAGTAATAGAGTATTTTGTACTAACATCATGATTAGCTGTAGTTTAATCATTTTCTATTGCTAATATTGCCTACAGATTATGATCGGGTATCCTGTGTTTCTAATCCGACCGACCGGTATGATAAGGTTTCTAAACATTGTCCATTTGCTTATTTGATGCGTCAAGATCAGGGCAGAGCCACATAGGGCCTAAGGGGCACCCCCAGAATTACAATCATGTATGAATGATCGGGTATTCTGAAGTTACGTAGTAACTTAAGCTTAAATATATACTTTTGCGTGCAAAAAAGTATGGAAAGCAGCAATTTGTCTTAGTGGAGCGTCCCTTGTTTCATGACCTTGGGGTGGGGTTCCATTCTTGCTGATAAGTATAACGGGCAAATTACAACCCGATCCGAAATCGTCCAAAAACTATAAATTTTTGTAACCCGAAATCCGAATGACCCGAATCCGATAACCCATGAGTTTTTGGATCGGGTTGGATGGGTTAGCGGGTCGATCCGTTAGACCGATTCAATTTAATATATTACTCCCAAAATATGATAAAATCACTCATAAATTGGTGAGACGTTTAAAAAAAATCACAAGGATTTGAATGACATGTTTGGAGTTTAAGGATAATCAAATATCATGTGTTTCTTGTAGTAGTATTACTCTTGTGATTGTTTTTTGACGATTTGCACAATTTATATTTCATTTCATTAGCGTGAGAGGATTTGAGAATATGTTAATTGACATGTGTTAGGTAAACTATTGTCATGCATATGTGAAAATTTGTGTTTTTTAAGAAAATATGAAGCATGTTTGATATTGTTTCTGAGAATGCTCATAACCCGAAATAACCTGTAACCCGATCCGAAACCGAATGGGTTGGGTCAATATTTGATCCGACATAAGGCAACCAAACATGACCCGGCCCGTAACCTTAGTTCACAACCCAAAATTCCCCAACTCGACCCGATTGCCAGGTCTAGAAACACATGATATTTGATTATCATGTAATTTAATAGTTTACCCTATGTGTTAACATCATGTAATTTATAGTGATTAGTTATGGTCTCGTGGTAAAGTTAGTTTAGTTGCTTAATTAACATAATTTAATTTCGTAATCATTTATATTCAACTTGAATAGTTAAGTTTTGCAATTTATAATATTATATTGTAATGATAATTTTCTTATTAAAATACTAATATCGAATAAAATGCTACAATCTGAAATGAATGATTAATTTTTTTTATTATTTTAGTAATTTATGTTGAACAAATCATAATTCATCACATCTATTGCCAATCTAAATATCTAATTATTCAAAAATAATATTATAGAATTTAATAATTAACATTATTAAATTTTTTCACAACGATATGATTATTTTGATTTTTCTTTTGTTTATTTACGATAACATGCCAAAAAATCCAGCCTCTCCGAACTCAAAATCCTAGCTCTAGCTCCTGATCAAGATGGCTTTAGCGATGGACCATATGCACAGCATATCATGGAGTTGAAGTGGAGGCAAGGCTGCCTTGTAATTGGGGTTGTTTGGCTTCACACATTTATCGTTGAGGTTGAAACAAGATTGAAAATATTTAAAAAATATTTGATCTCATCCATTGAATGCCGATCCTACTCAAATTAAAAGATGAGATTTAATTAATGTATAAACGCATAACCCTTCGTTATGCACTCCACCTAAACCGGACCCCGTTACGTTAATGCTCTTTCCTCGGTCCTATCTATTTCTTTACTCAAGCAAACTTGAAAAAGGAAATATCCCACCCAATCCCTACAATTATAGATAAAAAAATTTCCAATGGGATTAAGTAATCCGAGAAAAATCCGAAACCCGAAAAGGAAATTAATTAATAATCAAAAAGGAGAGAAAAGAAAGAGGAAAAGAACACATGAAAAGGGACGTTTATAATTATCCATTCCAGACCCCCCCAAAATTCAATTCCTAAACGCCATCTTCACCTGCTGCTTTCACATTTTCGTCCCTCCTTGTACCTTCCCCACGGGACCCAACGAAACCACCACCGCCGCCGCCATCCCTCCGCTTCAAAACACCCAGCTTGGCCAAACCCTCCTCCCCCCAATCCAGTGCGTTCAACACCACGTACGTCCCAATCCCGCCGATCAATCCGTAGGCGATGGAGTAGGTCAACGGCATCAGAATCAGCGTCACGAACGCCGGAATCGCCTGCCTCATGTCGTCCCACTCAATCTCCACCACCGATCTCATCATCAGAACCCCGACCAATATCAGCGGCGGGCCCACCGCCCAAGCCGGGATCGACGCCAGCAACGGCGTGAAGAAGAACGCCAGGAAGAAGTATCCCCCTACCGTCAGTGCCGTTATCCCCGTCCGTCCTCCCTCCCGAATCCCCGTTGACGACTCGATGAACGCCGTTACCGGTGACGTGCCCAGAAGCGACCCCACAACGATCGACGTGGCGTCGGACATGAACGCGAAGTACTGCCCCTCGAAATCCCCGTTCTCATCCGCGAAACCCGCGAAACGGGCCATCGAGTAAAGCGTCCCCGTTGTGTCCAAAACGTCGACGTACAGGAACGTAATCAATGCTTCCCAGAACTGACCCGACCCGATGCCCTTGAAGCTCAGCGCCCCGGCGGTGGACTTGATTGCGTGGACGTCGACGACTTTCCTGAAGTACTCGAACGCGGCGTCTCCGGCGGAATCGTCGGGAAACGCGGTGACCTTCGTGTGCCGGAACCAGGAGACGGCGGTGACGAAGACGATTCCGTAAATCATCGCCCCTTTTACGTTCTTCACCAGGCAGTAAGCAATTATGATGAACCCGACGATTCCCAGCCAGAATGTCGGGCTCTCCATACGGCCGCGGAGGCAGAGGATGTCGCCGGAGACGGTCCCGCCGGGGATCAGGCTCACGGTCCCGTTCGCCATCGCAATCACCGGGGCCAGCGACGCCCGGGAGGATTTCGGGCAGGCTCCGAGTGTCACCAGAGTGGATGAGCTGTACCCAACTAACCCGATCCCCTGATTGCTCTGCAACCCGATGAAGGCGAGGAACAGTCCGATTCCGGCGGAGGAGCTGATTCGAACGGGTTTGGGCACCAATTTGGCGATTCTGGCCCTCAATCCGACGGCCGAAATGGCGAGAAAAATCAAACCCTCGATGAAGACGGCGGCCAATGCGCTCTGGTAAGAGACGTTGCCGGATCCGTGGAATCCAACGACGGTATAAGCGAAGTAGGCGTTTGAGCCCATTCCCGGGGCTAGGGCGAGGGGGAGATTCGCGAAAGCCCCCATTATAACGCAGCCGATGAGGGAGGATGCGACGGTGGCGACAATTAGGTCTTTTCTGATTCGATCCAGGCAAGCGGAGTATCCCGGGTTAACCGGGTCGAATTTGCAGGAGTCGTCGGGCTGGACGACCCGCAAGGGAGGGGATCCGCCGGAGCAATTAGGGAGAGACACTGCCGGGTCGGAGCAGAGAGGGAGGCAGTCGGAGACCGAGCACGTGCCGCCGCTGTCGGTGAGGATGGAGGCGTTGACGGCGAGGATGTAGGCCATGGTGAGGAAGGTGGCGGTGCCTGCTCTGAGCTCGGTGGTGAAGGTGGTGTTGCGGGCGTCGAGTTTGAAGCGCTTGCCGACAGGGGAAGCGGCGACGGCGGAGTTGAGCCCCGTGACGAACGACGGCGGCCTGGGGGGCGGCGGCGGCGGAGGCGGCGGAGGAGGAGCAGATTCAGGGTCGTCCATGTCAACCATGAGATTTGATCTGTGAGTGGGAGAGTTGAGTTTGGGTTTGTGTTTATATTATGCAAGAGACAGAGAAGGAGAGTAGCCCGTTAGAGAGTCGGCGGGGAATGTGGCTATGGGAAGAAAATCATTTAAGAATTGGGGATTAATTAGTGGGGATTATAGAAAACACTACCATAATATAATATAGTTTATTATTATACCACTGAAACCCTGCTGATGCGTGATGAGCTCATTGTAGGGTGCTAATTGGGTTGGTTTATCACATATCGAAATATTAGACCTGGCAAATGAGGACCCGATCCGTTGATCCAACCCGAACCCGCCTGAAAAATAGAGAATGGGTTGAGGTTTTTATAACCCGAAATCCGAATGACCCGAACCCAATTAACCAGTAGTTTTTGGGTTGGGTTGGTTTGTGGGTCGACCCGCTAGACCCGTTTCATTGCATATGTCACTCTCAAAATGATAAAATCACTCATACTTTGGTGAGATGTTTAAAAAAAATTATTAGGATTTGAAAGACAAGTTTGGAGTGTTAAGATAATCAAACATCATATGTTTATTGTAGTATTATTACTTTGGTCATTGTTTTTCGACAATTTGTGCAATTTATATTTCTTTTCATTAGCACGGAAGGAGTTGAGTATTTGTTAATTGACATGTGCTAGAAAAACTATTGTCGCACATATGTAAAAATTTGTGTTCTTTAAAAATTTATGAAGCATGTTTGATATTATTTCTGAGAACGCTCATGACCCGAAACCCGACCCGAAACCTGATGGGTTGGGTCAATTTTTGACCCAAAATCAGCAAATCCATCATGACCCGACCCATAAAGACCCGTAACCCGAGATTCCCAACCCGAAATTACCCAACTCGACCCGATTGCCAGGTCTACGAAATATGTTTTAACATCGAAATGTGTTTTAAGCTTCAACTGTGACTCAATCGATAATTTTTATTGGTTAATTGCATGTTATCTATTCAGTTAATAATTATTTTGACGGTTAACTACTTATCAATAACAACCTTCGTAGGTAATAGTTTTGTTTTTTATTTAAAACTTTTGTGATTTTATTTTAATAATACTTATAAAAAAACATCAATACAATACATAATCCAAACATGTATTCCTAATTCACGTCTCATTCAATTAGAGAGTACCAACTAGTTTCGAAGAAATCTTGTTTTAGCTTATTGGAAATGTTTCTGAAAGACGAAAAGGATTCGAAAGATTCGATGTGTATTCGTAATTGCGTAATCCAAATGGTGATTGGGTTATGAAGGAGAAAGATAAGGCCGACTTTGCAATTAACTTCTTCGTGCAGTTGTTTACATATGAGAACATCGCAGAGGACATGGGAAGTGAGTTTCCGCCTTACCCATAGAACGATGGGTAACAGACGAAATAAATGTTGAATTGACTACTGAGGTGAATCTTGAGGAAATTAGGCGTATAGTGTTTTTAATGGGGTCGAAAAAGGCAACAGGGTCTGATGGGTTCACTGAGAAGTTTTAATTGGCCCGTTGGGGTAAAGTTGGCCCATATATGAATTAAGCTGTGCAATCCTTGTTTATGAACGGGCGCATTTTACAATGCTCAAATCTCACGCCTTGATCCCAAAGGTGGATGAGGTGGAAAACATACGCTAGTTAAAACCACCAAAGTTTGTGCAGATTTGTGCATAAGATTATTACTAAAGTCCTCACTAAGCGTTTGGCAACCCATTTGTGGCATATTGTGTAACAAGGATGGAGTGCGTTCATTCAAGAGTGACAAATTATAGATAATGTGTTGATTGGGTATGAGTTGATGCACTATCTCAAAATTAAGACCAAGGGTAAGAAAGGGTCCATGACCCTTAAAGTTGATATGAAAAAGGGCTATGACGGGGTTGAGTGGTCTTCTTACTTACGGGCTTGGATAGATTGTGATTCACCTGATTTTGATAAAGTGGATCCAAGAGTGTCTCTCTATGTCGTCCTTCTCGGTTATGATGAACATGACACATTTGGGCTTCTTTAGATTGTTGTGGGGTTTGAGACAGGGGGATCCTATTTCTTTTTTATTGTTTGTGCTATGTATTGAGGGATTTGCTACACTCCTTAGAAAGGCTATTGCAGAGGGTCGGTCGTCTCCCTGGGGTCCGAGTTAGTCCGAGAACGCTGTCAATTTCATATATGTTTTTCATAGATGACTTCTGCCTATTTATGAGGGGGTCGATTCACGAATGTGACTCCTACCTCTTTATGAGCGCGTCGATTCATGAATGTAATTTCTCAATGGAACTTATGTGGGAAAGTGAGGTGTTAAGTGAACAAAAGGTCAATTTGGCTAAGTATAATATGTGCTTTAGTCATAATATTGCGCATTAGGAGTGGACGACGATGGCCCAACATTTGGCGATCTAGGTGGTGGGAGTTCAAGTAAGTACATGGGCTTACCAACTTTGGTGTCTCGCTCCAAATTGGACACGTTTCGATTTCTAGAGGAGATTTTACTGAACAAATTGCAGGACTCGAAGCAACGTCACCTTTCTTGGGCTGCGAAGGAAATGTTGCTTAATTCAGTGGCATTGGCTTTGCCGGTGCATGTGATGTCCTGTATGAGATTACCATTGACTCTTTGTCGGAGACTTGATATGCTGATGGCTCAATTTTTATGGGGGCGAGTGTGGGGATAACATATTACATTAGATCTCTTGTAGGAATCTTTGCCGTAGTAAACACGACAGAGGGCTGGGGTTCGGCCGCTTTGAGGAATTTAATAAAGCGTTACTAGCTTTATGGATCTTTGAAGAGCCTGACTCTCTGATTGCTCATATTTATAAAAATAAATACTTTCCACACGGTTCGCGGTGAATGGTCTGCGCCTCTTGTGAGATGGCAGCGTATACTTCATAGGCGTGCGCTCCCGAAGCAGGGTTTACAGTGGTAGGTGGGGACAAAGGAGAAACTTTATATCCTCTCCTCAAATTGGATTCCGAGGGATCTCCCTGTGGTCCATCAAATATTTATTTCATTTTATGAGTTCAAAATCTAAGAACACATTCAATGTCATTGTATAAATTAATACAAATTTCATTCTAATTATTAAAATTAGACCCACCTTGAATGAATTCCTTATTATGAAACTTCTTACACTTAACTCGGTTGCACAATAATTTTAATAGAAGGAAGTTATTAGCATATAATTTGAATATAAATAACCCGCCAATCATAAACGTGTAGCTCATACATCCTAAGAATCTACATCTCAAACTACCAATCATATAGATGAAATTGTAAATTTTAAAATCCAAAAGACAACCTCGTGCAACCAAGATTATCAAATTGTTTCCAACCTTTGACTAAGCCATGAAATGTGGGTCATGGTTCGACCACTTGAAATGAGGTTAAATAATTTTACTCAAATTTACTAGAATTTGAGGTAAAAATTAGAGAGATGAGATATTTGCAAAGGAAATCAGAGAGAGAGAGAGAGAGTATTGCTAACTCAATCAGTGTCAAGCAATTTCTAACCTAATGGTCTTGACTTTGTTTGATCAATTTTAACCATATTCGATTTGAACCTAAATCGGGCGTGCGAATTTAGTAAGATGGTCGATGGCGATTAAACCCGGTTCAACCGTATTATAACAACTCTGTGCAACAAAAACTTAATCCATATCAATTAATTATTAACCAATTACAAATACCTAGTTTACGCTCCATTGTCATAAACATGAAAAAGAGAACAATAGTGGTTGTAAGTAAATCGACAGAAGATAGTATGCAAAAGAGGTACCTATGCACATAAATATACTTAAACATCAAGTATCCTAAGCTCAATCTAGGGGATGATATTTGGAGTATAGTGAATTAAAAATAAGAACACGTCACTTATACATTTTAACATACTAGGTCTCAAACTATTTTCTTGATTCTTAAATAAATTATCATAAACATGTTTGAGAATCTTCAAAACAACCTCGTGAGCCAAAATCTTATATAATATTTTTTTTTGGTAATTAGAACTTTACCATTAAGCACCCCCTGGAAAATCTCACAAAAGTTCAAAAAATACACAGGCCGCAGCCCACAAGCAATCCTCACAGGAATTGGAAACAAAGAAAATCTACTACGCTAGACAGTGGCTACACCTAGCAGTTTTCTCAATTTGGATTTGGAACTTTGAGTTGCTATAGGCATAAAGTCGAATCTCCTCTCTTAGCAGCTCAGCCAACACCTGGGAAGTTCTTGGTTGCTCTCCAAAAATCCTCCTACACCGCTCCTTCCACAAAAAACACAAACACCAACACCAAATAGCTGATTCAATCATGCCACAACAGACTAGTCACAAGGTACAGAAACTCTACTTATTAACACTTCATCAACAAAGTCCTGCATATAAACACATTGATAGAACATATGAGACCTGCTTCCTTCAACTGCTCCACAAAGAACACAAGAGATGTCAAAATTACTCCCTAGCTTTTAAGCTTATCTAAGGTAGTAATTCTATCCTGCACTATCAGCTAGACAATAACCTAGTTTCGTGGAGCACATACTTGTTCCATATAATCCTCCACCACTCCACTCGAGATTGCTTCTTCTTGAGTGTCTCCCAAATGGAAGAGACTAAAAATCTATCCATTTTCTTCCCTTGACAAGTAACATAACCATCACAAACTTCCATTCTATACCTCAACCAAGGGCGGATATTAAGAATTTGTTACCAGATCCAGGAGCCTGAAGAAGTTATCTTGGCTTCCAAAACAGAGACTCCTCTGAGTCTATAGAGATCAATCCAGGCTACCCAGAAGCTCCCTCCTTGGAGGAGAAGAAACCAAATAAGTCTAGCCAGAGATGCCACATTCCAAGAAATAAGATCCTTTAAACCCAGTCCACCCTCCTTCTTTGGAAATGACAATACTTCCCAAGCAACCTTTGCTTTCCCTGATTTATCTCCATGCCAAATAAAATCTGAGCAAATTTTTTGAATGTCTTTCAGGTAT